CTCCATTTCCACATAAAAAGTTTGTATGGTTACAAAGAGATGTGGGGAGAAGAGGAGAGGGAGAAGGCACATGTGGGAAGTGCCTTCCAGCCGTATGGCCAGGAATATCTGCAGGTTGACGCCATGGTATAGTTTCAGCCCTCCCCCAGTCCTACATTACTTCCTTTTTTGTGAATTGGAGTTGGAAAAACCCAGCTGCAAAGCAGGTTTTCCTTCCAGTCAGGACATTGTTATATCATCTGTTCCGCATGCAGAGCGCTGCTGGATGATATCTGTCTGTCTGTCTGTCTTACCACTGAACTGGCAGAGGGAGGGGAAGAGCAGAAAGGAAAGGCAGAATCCTAAGCCTGTATATAGATCCAGAAACGAAGAACTTTATTACTACTTGGCATGATGATTTTTAACTCCAAAGAAACTTTGTCTTGCTGCCAGCTACATTGTGGCCATATTTATGTACCAATATGCTTGCTGTGTTCTGTTATTTGGATGAATTATTTCAAACTTTGATTGACAATCAAAAAATCCGTTGACAGAATGTGACTGTATGGGATTAAAGCTGGATGCTGGCACTCTGTCATACAGAGTGTATACCCACAGCAGGTAAGTAATAATCACCCAGAAATGTTCTGCTGCACGTATCTGATTACTTCAATTAATTTTTAATGTGAAATTATTCTCAAAAGCTGGCATGTAATTCATCTCACTGTGTTACAGAGAGAATCACTCTGTTTACAGATTCATAAAACACCAGAAACGCATGAAAATTTTTCATTTTCTCCTCCATTTTCTTCACCTGTAACACAGAAATTTTCATCAAAATTGGTTTACATGCTGCATAATTTCCAATGGCAGATTTGACACTGTATTTTGAAATCATTTTAGTAGTGGCTCGTTGTGATTTTGTGATTAAAATCCATGATTCTAGCTATAATAAAGTCAGGAAAGCTTTGGAATTCTCCAAGACTGCTGCGATAAATTAGTTGTAAGTAGTAATTCCTGTTCAATATCCTGTGCTTGAATCTGAAAGTACAACAGTTACCACCTGGACTGTAACAAAACTTTAGGTTGTTAATGTTAGGAAAAGGAGGTGAAAAGTGACCTGTGCTGTCACAAGCAATGCAGCATGTGGATCACTGTGACAACAATGCAACTTCCATTGCTAATGCAATTATACGTAATTAAGAGACAGAAATAGAGATGATTTTTTTTTCTCAGTAGCATTTTAACTACCTATAATTATACATACCTGCATGAAATTACATGCATTTATACTATTTAACTACTGGTAAAAAGAGAATGTTCCTTAGCTTTGGTGTTTCTCTATAATTAGATCTCAGCTTGCAATCTGTGCAATAAAAAAATGCTCATGTGAGGAGAGCAAGACAAAATAAAAATACACTGGTTCAACCCTTGTGTCTCCTAAGGACAAGTGGAATACTCTTGCAATCATTATTCTTGCATTTTTCAAAACTGCTGGAAATAAAATGCAAAAACCTTTTCCATACCAGGCCAGAGTTTAGCTCAGCAGAACCTGGGACTTTGGAAGCAGATACCCTCACGCGGGTGCAACCTAAAAGCTCAACAAACTTTCAGTAACTTTTGTTATGTTCTTACCGAGAAAACTCTCCCCTCCTTACTAACCAATCTGGTTAATGATGAAAAATGCCACCATTTACAACTTCACCTTTTGTCCCCTGAACCAAATGGCTGAAGCCTGCAGTAAGAATAATTCAATGTGACAGCTTATCTTTTTGCCCAGTGGGGGCCTTTACTGAAGTTTGGCTATGAATGCAATTTCCTTGTGGATGATGATGACGTCTGAAGCCTTTATGATTCAGATCCAAACTAGTTTAAAAAAGCAGGAGGATCCCACTATGACAAGCCACAAGTATCTTCCCCTTTCAAAGGAAGTGATTATTGAGTTGATATATAGCACACATGGTACTTGCATTCCTTAAAATAAAGCCACATAAAAATGTTATATACGATGTCATATTGTAGCAGAAGGGTTTGTAAACTCTTATCTGCAGATGTTAATGAGACAGCCATGAAAATGCAGTCAGATCTAAAGCTTGGCTCTGAAACTTCTCAGCTAAAGGTTTTTGTTCTAAAGTGCAAAGTTACTTTCAGGGGAGAACAGGAGAAACAAACTTTCAGGGGAAAACAACGAACTTGATTACATCTCAGTCATTGAAAAAAAATCAAAGCCCACCCTAAGAAACTTATTCGGATACTATTCTAATTTCATCGGACTATACAACTGCTACTCTGCTTGCAACACAATCCTCCCGTGTTTGAAAAGCATACATGTAAGACATACGGTTTTAACTTTTATGAGCATGATATCAGTGCCCAAGGTGGTAGAAGAGAGAATCAGACTGAGAATATACTCTCTTATATAAAGAAAATATAAATACATACCTATGTAAGCATAGATAAAACACTGTAATTTATGCCAAACTCCATTATGAATACAGATGTCTATATTATATATAATAAACTTATATATAACATACAAAAATATAGAAAGCATAATAATATTTTCATATCATAAAATGCCACTATATATAACTTTTATGTGGCACATGGCACATGGCATTATATGAAATATTTGGATATATATTGCATTATAAAAAGAAATGGCTTCTAAATAGTAACTTCTATGAGAACTTAACTTCCAAAATAAGCTGCCCAGCATATAGGAAGCCTTAAGTCCTGTATTTCATAAGTGTATCATAAAGCTTTGGTACTAATTAACTTATACTGTAAGTTACTTGTAATTACATTATAATATATTTCAAAACCTTAATTCTGATTAGCTTTGCTATAATAATAGATTTTTTTTTCTAATAGAAACTGGCATAAATGGGTTCAATCATTGAGATCAATACAAATTGTGGCATAAGCTTAAATTTATCCACTGGAGGAAAAGCAGAGACTTAATTAGCTGTATCTTCATGTCCTTTCTTTCAAGTCAGTTTGCATTTCCAAAATCAAATATTAAAAATAAAACCAAGTCAAACTGACAAATACTGACCACATAAATTCTTTTTAATTTCAGATATGTGTGAGGAGACAGAACAGACTTCATCCCTACGATGCCAGCTTGTCACATGCTCCTTTCATATGACTTCAAAATTCAACAGGTCCATGAGGAGAATCAATATAAAGTGGCCTGACATGCCAGAGCAACTCTCTGGTACAGCCCAAAGCATGTCCTGTAACCCTGAGATTACTGCAGTGGGATACTGGGTCCGGCTGGGATGGAGTCACTAAATTAATCTTTTTCCCAGCAGTCCATGGGTGTTGTGCTCCCCAGCTGTAGCTAAACCATGCTGGCACCAGAGCACTCTTTTGGCCGCTGCTGGACAGTGCCTGCGCAGGAGCACCAAGGCTTCTCTGCACTCCCTTCCCCTTAAAGGCCAGGAGGAGGGAGTGGGTAAGAGGCTCGACAAGGACATAGCTGGGTTAGCTGAGCCAGACTGAGACTTTGGAAGCAGGGACTTTGGAAGCAGTTTTCCATGGGAAATTCCATATGGTACACCAGCATGCCCAGCAATAAAACCTCAGGGGATGGAAGAGGAAAGGAGTATGTTTAGTGTTGTGGAGTTTCTCTTCCAAAACAACCACTACATGTGCTGAGGTGAGGCTCTCCTTTCCAGGGAGCAGCTGGGCATTTGCTTGCTGATGCAAAGCAGTGAACAATTTTCTCTTTTTGCTTTGTTTGTGTGTGCAGCTTTTTCTTTTCTTATGAAATGGTCTTCTTTATCCACCAGTCTTTTTGCCTTTCTCCTGTTTTTCTCCCTATCTCTCAGGACAGGGGAGAGAGCTAAAGGTAGGGACAACGTTTGGCTGCTGGCCATGGCCAACCTACCACAACTCATTTAGTGCAAATGGATGTGTACATTTCAGGAAGAGAAGGTATTTTGCAAAACCAAAGCAGTATGTTGTATTTTGGGTTTTTAACAGTAGCATCTATGTCTGAGAGGCTCTTAAAATAAAGTAGGAAATTAAAAGAATGCATTTCTTTACCACAACTATGCAGATATTGATGATATCCAAAATCATTGAGTCAGGAGAATATCTATCATTGGAGATATACAAAGCTCAACTGGTCCTGAGTAACCTGATACTGCTTTGAAGTTGACTCTGCTTTTAGAAGGCGATGTGAGCTCCAGTAGTTGGTTATTACTCAAATTATTCCAGGGTTCTCTGGTCCTTGCTTCTTTCAGAGCACTATTTGAAAAAGCTATTTTCAGCTTTCCAGCAGGATTGCAATGGCTTTAATGTAAGGTAATTTTTATGATAAGCCAAGCTGCCTGCATTCAGGAGTTGGGCTACTAGTTCTTTCTGTCTTTCCTGGTATTTTCTTTTATTCACCAATAAAGAAACCATTAATCAGAAGCAATAAAAATGAATACAGGTAAGCAGTTGAAAAGGTAGTGCCAAAGCAAAAGGCTGCCCTAATTCTCAATTACTCTTCTTAGACTGGAAAGAAACCAAACCCAGTAAGCATTACTTTAATTAAGTTTGAGCATTTCTTACATTCACTGATGTGCAAGCATGCAGACCTGCTTTACTTCTCTGAGGAACACAGAGAAGACAGAAGGGGCTGAAGCCAGGAGCCACAACTTCTAGTTGCAAAAAGGTCTCCTAACAGTCATCTAAGATACAGACAAAAAGTGTGAGGAGTTTTCTCTATTCAAGGCAGCCATACTATTGACATATAGGCTGAGCCTGACTTCCAAGAACTTTTCACCTCCTCCTCTGCTGGTGATGGAGAGGTTTGAGAGTTGCTTTCCACTTTACCCTACACAGTCTACAATTTAAAGCCACCATCTCCATCACCATCACCTAAGCATTGGTTGCCACTGCTAAAAAGGTAGCCTTGACATGACCACTGGCAGTGTCAGGACCATCTTTTCTGGATCACTGTATATTTTCAGGATATGAAGGATGTGCCAGTATATTAGAGTATGGGTGATCTCTCCACAGCTTACCTGTCAATAATGGCACACATGTCAATGGTGACATTGGCAAAGCTTCCCAGCTCTCCATGCTCCACTGCATGCAAATCCACCAGCTGATCATCCACATGAATACTCTGCATGCATCCTTGGAAAGAATGCTCAAATAGGGAGTGATCTGAGTCATTCATCTGTGCTGGAAACCCTGCAGAGAAGCAAAATAAAGAGGATTATTAACCTCATCTACTATGACTTAAGCCAGGATATTTTCAAAGGAAAAGAAACACCGTTTTCCTAGATGAGGGTAAAACAAAGGCATTGTTATTGATTTAAGTAATTGTCAACTATATGAAGTATTTATACAGTACAGCTGATGATTTTTGTCTAAAGGATGGAAGCTTTCTGCTACCCTTTCCTCCAATATTCTCTGCTGCTGCCTTTCATTCCTTCTCTCTCATACAAATATTCTTGGAGTAGGAAAAAGATTTATCTCCTTGCTATATTTTAGAGGTGGCATTCTAATTTCTCTGATTTTTCTGACTGCAAATGCAGCCATGAAGTGAATTACCAGTTCAGCCTTCTCTAGAACTAGGTTTCCAGTCTTTGTCACTGTGTTCATGGGCAAAGAATATTTGTGCTGGAATCTTTATGTAAACTTGAAAATAGTCCCAAACTCTAACATCTTTGATCACTTCTGAGGAATCCGAGGACATTATGTAGTATTTTCATTTTGCTCTGAATACATTCATTTTCCTGTGTGTTTAAAGGTGGTTTACAAAAGATGAGAATGACTTAGTGTCTTGCTCAGGCTAAAAGGCGTGGAGACAGAGCATATTTGTTTGCATCTGTTTAACTGAATGCCCTTCAAAAGTGCACATGTCAATTTAGTTGAGAAAAATGTCCTTGATGACACAGTGGAGAGACTCATTCACTACTTATAAACCTTCAAGAATGAGAGGTTTATAAGAAAAATACAATTCCTTTAAGATGGGAGCAGGAAGGAAGAGGAAGGAGAGTTTATTGAAAAGAAAAAAGAAAAGAAGGCAAAGAAGGTAAAAATTCTGAAAAATTCATAAAGCTGTTGCAGATTTCACCCAGGTAGACAGCCACCCATACAGTACTTTTCAGGCAAGAGTGAAATATCATACACCTTTGCTGTGGTGGCTAAGACAGATTTTACAATTCCCATTCCTTCTCCCACTTTTCTATCCACCTTGCCAATCTCCAATGCCTTATGGCCTCTTCAATAGCATTTGTGGAGACAGGAGAATAGAAGATTATCAAACTGACATTTGAACAGTGACAGAAAAAAAGTGATGAACCTAATTTTAAATTTTGTTCATGGATACAGGAACATGCCACAGAAATAGTTGAATTGGCAGAAAAAGAAGGCAACAAGTAGAAAAACAAGCAACAGGTGCTTGAGTTCAGATGATGCCTAATACACCACCTATTACTAACATAAGTCTTTGCCAAAATCTAATTAAGATACATTTTAACTAAAAGGCTTTGCCAGAGATTTCATATAATCATGAATACTTTTTAAAACTTTCTAAAGTGATCCAGCCCATAGCTAAATTTGCTTTTGGTAGCTTCTAAATTTCCCTGACTCACTTCAGTAAGCATTCACTTCAGAGTTCACAAGTGGTGGCACAAAATTAATTAGGGATGCTATAGTAATTAAGCTGAGACAATGCTAAAAGTTAGTTCTGACAGGTATCTCAAGAAGCTGGCCTTCTCTTGAGGTTGTATCAGCTCTGGACTAGAATTATGACCATATTACAGGAAGCCATAAACTGCTATGAGACACCTGTATAATAATGTCACACTAACACACATTCAATGGAGAAGGAAAAGCTCCTTGGGAATCCCCCAAATGCCCAACTAGTGCATAATACCTTCATCAGATCAAATGCCACCCCCAAAAAAAAAGAACCTAACCAACAAGCCAACCAAAGAAAAAAAAAGTACTAATCATGGACTGTAGAAATTTTTATTTTGGACAGGCAGAAAAATCAAGGTGTAGGGACATGTCCTATATTGTCTTTCCAGCAGGGCTTTGGCTAGTGACTTCTCTGATGAAAAGAGGACAGGTCTTTCAGAAACCTGCCTCCTGCTTTCTTTAAGTTGTTCTGTCTAGTGACTGATTAAACAGATTTATGTGAGGCTTTACAGACAATAGAAGAGACAGACAAAAGTGCATGTTGGTTCTGTGTTGTTTGGTGGATGTAAGCATAATATTTGCATATTCCTACCAGGCTCTTTCCCCAGTTATATTTAAACAGCTTACTCTTTCAGTATAATTATATGTTTTTGAACTGTCACTGAACCCTAGAACTCCTCCCAAGCAAGAATCCCCAACATAATGCAAAGCATATTAGAACTTTAGTGCAGTACCAGAGCAGGATAGGAAACCTGCATATCACCTTCATGTTCAGAGCATGTCCACCATTTCTTTGATTTAAATATTAAATTCAAGGTTATCAGCACCAGGATAAGCAGTAATATTCGTGTAAACCCTGCAAAGCCAAGGAAATTATACAGATTTATCTGAATATAAAGAAAGATTTGCCACTATCCTACAAACACTAACTGAAAAATAAGATCAAAACTGAGAGCCACAATTCACTGTTCACATCAAAAAGAGAATGAACCAAATATCTAAGTTAAAAATGTATTATTAGATTGAACAATTTGAGACCATTCCAGAAGTAACCACAGAGGTATTTCAATACGAGATTCTCAGATTCACTGCATCTGAAGTATGCACTATATTACTGCACAGCTTTTATTGCTCTCTGACACATTTTGCAGTTTGCTACTGGTTGAACCTGTGCACAGAAAAGTGGCAGCTGGGTCCCTCCCTCAGCCTCGGTGGAGACCCCATGTTCTTGGGTTTACTGGCTGGAGCAGGAGGGAGTTGTGGGATGGAGTGCTGGAAGTGGCAGCTACTCCTAACCTAACTACATAAATCAAGATTTTCTCCATTATCCAAGAGAGTGGTGTACACTGAGTGTTAATCAGCTTAGGATTCTGAATTTTTCTGTATCTGTTGGTGGATGAAGACTATAATTTTCCTATGTAAATGTCTTTGTTTGCCTGTCTTGCTGCCATTCCCTTTGCTGTTTCTAGTCATGTAAGAAACTGGAAGAGGTAAGAGTTTTACACACTAGTACAACACATTTCATAATAAGTCTGTGGGGCTGAATGGGTGTCAAAGCATTTCAGTCATGCTATACTCTAACAGGTAGTTATGCTAAGAGATAATTTCAGAAAATATTTCCTATTCCACAGGGAATGGAAGAATGGGTTTTTCCAACCATATGCTTCCTATAAAAAAAGAAGCAAAGCTACTAGATAAGCCTTACCAACATTGTTTTTGAACTACCAGGTATACAGTCTAATATCCATTAATTTTGTTGAGACATGGACATTTTGCTGAGACATGGACAAGATTTTTCTGGTCAGAATCATGTGGGGCAAAGCTTCTGCCTTAAATGCAAACCTCAAAATGACCTAGTACCTTGTGGTTTTAATTCAATACACAAGAAAATGCCTTTCCCTTCCAGATTCCCATTACTGAGACATGATTCACTTCCTCATCCTTCCCACAGTGAATGAAATTTTAAAGAAATTAAGTTCTCTAACTAAAGCTGACAGTAATGCTGACACTAGGAAGCCTAAGTAATGGATGAACAATTTGGACAGCACTTCATTGATCTTCTTGTTGACAAGAAACTATGCACATTTCCAAAACACACATAAAATTCAGTTTGCACAGTCCAAAACAATGTTCATGCTTATGCTTACAAACACATCTCTAAGTCAGGTAGACTTCATTAGCCTGTTATTTCTGACATAAAGAATCTGTACATTTCCATTTTATTTTTCATATTTAAAGACCACAAAGGGAGGGATTATACTGCAAATGTCAGACATGGATTAAATCTGAATTTTCCAATGTTCAAGAAAAATTGTTTCCAGGACTTCATTCTGATGTACTAAAACCAGAACAGCCAAATTCTAGATACAGTTCTGGATTTTAGTTCAAACTTTCAAGAAAAATTAGAAAAGCTAGAATTTAAATGAATGCTATTTCTTTTGTTAAGTCACTTTACTATAATAAAATAAACAAATTAAATAAACTGTAATGAATACAATAAAACATCTAAATAAATAAATAATTTAAATAAATAATCTAATGCAATAAAATAATATTAAAAACATATTCCTTTTCCAGTGTCAAGACCTATTATGTCTCTTTTCGAATCAGCCGAGTAACATTTCACCAAAAGCATTCTTAAAAATGAAGTTGAAGGAAGAATACATTCAGGTCCATGTTATAATAACAGAGGAATGTATATATAGTCAGAACACTTGATGCATTACTCATTGCTGAGATTTGATCTAAGAATGAAATATCATAATAGACTCTGGATGTGCAATCAGAGATTATTTTGTACTCCTGTATTAAGCACTCAGATTTTCTTTGAAATGTAATGCAAATTCTATTGTAATAAGAAGGCAGTTTTTCTTTATGGTATTATGTTTTTTTTCCCCTTTTATGTTATTTGTAAGTTAATGATGGGCCAATGACTGTATATAGATGGCACTTGATATTTTACTTCTTTAATACAATAAATACACTTAATTTAAAAAACAGTAACTAGTATCTTTGATATCTAATCAGTAATGCATATTATCGTCAACTAGTTGCATGGGTAGCTGGAGGATAATCAATAAAAAACTGACTGATTTCAAGTCTGACAGTGATTTTTCTTGGTAGGGTTTTCAAGAATATGCTCAGGACTTCTGCTATGTAGAACCAGAGAAAGGAAACAAAGCTCTTTATCTGTCAGGATAAATAGCAGCACATTCTCATTGAAGGGTCAAGTAATCAAATTATATATACATATCAAACAGAGTTAAAAGATGTTATTCTGTTCCACAGAACAAACCCCAAACTCAATGCTTAGCAATGTACTTAGATTGAGATACAGCTGATGTTCCACATGTTAATAAATAGGAAAAGACACTGAAAGAAAAGCTTGATCCACCTACCAATCCAGATTCACGGTATTTTATCCCTATTTCAGTCAGATCAGAATGGAGCCTTAAGTATCAAGGGTATTACAGGCAGTAACTTTGGAAAACTAGAAGAGTCCTATTCCAAGAGCATGAAATAAACCAAACAAATTGCAAATG